ACGTTTTTTTTTCAATACTTTAATAAAAATAGTCCTGAAATTTTTCAGGTTTCAGGTCAGGTCAGGTCAAACAGACAACCTGATATGACCTGACCTGACCTGACCTGAAAAAAAATTTCAGGTCAGGTTTATCAATTAACCTGACTTGACCTGACCCATTCGGAGCTCTATGACCGACCATTTAAATGATTTATGAAATCATTTGTCATTATTCATAATCATTGGTCATTTCAATGATTTGATTTTAATTGGCTAATATTTATCACATAAATAATCATGTGACTATAATTAAAAAATAATGTAGGCGAAAATTATAATGCTGGCAAAATTACATTCAAATGACCAAGGTCATTTGTCATTTAAGCATTGAAATGACATGTCATTTGTCATTTGAATCATTTGGTCATTTCAAGTCATTTGCTGAACACTGATATTACAAGCCACAGTTTAAATCTGAAAAGGGTAATTCTCAGGGGTAAAATTATTTACTTTCGGATTCCAAAAATTTCATGATTATTTGGATATGGCAGGACCCCGAACAATATATAAATAGGTCATAGGAAATTGGCAAAATTTTACTATTAGCTCTACGCATTTTTTCAGGGCCGGAATTATGATAATGTCAGTCAGTTACTAAATAAAGTAATATATTTCTTACCAACGTTATCAAAATGTATCTAAAAAAGGAAAGATTTTCATGATTATTTTAGCCTATTCTACGCGTTATTTCTTGTTACCTATTTCAGTATTGCTTGGGGTCCTGATATGGCTTCACAAAGGGGAGAGGAATTGAGGGAAATAAAAAGGGTAAGGTTAGGCAAGTTACCAAAGGTAACCGAAAAAGAATTAGGATTTAGGAATAGATACGTCTCATAAGTCATAACATAGAAACTTCGTCATGTATCGCAGAAATAGTCCCAAGCTTTTGTACTTATTTTGCATATATTAATTTATTTTGCACGTATTAATAAAAAATTTTCTGGCAAATAAAAAAAAATAAGTTTCGCAAACATAAAAAAAAACATTTTATTTGTATGAATAAGTACATATATCTCTAATTTTTAAATTTAATAATTTTAATATTTAATGCAATTAAGCTTTGGTTACTAAGACTTGCAAATACTTTGAAAGCCTTCTGTTATAAATTTTTTATGTCTTCAGGAACTAGTTTGCGAAGTTTCATTTTGACTCCTCCTAAGCTTTGCTTGTAGATTTGCACCATTTACTAATTGCTCCAAAGACTTCTGTAAATGAGGTTTATAAACTTGCAAGTCTTTGGGTACAGGATTGTGAAGTCTCATGTTGGCTTCTTTTAAGGTTTGATTGTTACTATGGAAATTAAAATTGCTTTTATCTGTCACCTGTTGCAATAACTTCAAGTCATCAGTTGACATCTCAACATCCCTATAAAGACAATGTGTCCGGAAAATATTCTGAAATTGTCCAGAATATAATTGTACAAATTCCAGACAAGCAAATGAGTGTCCTGAAAATATCCAAAACTGTGATACCCAATTAATAATCATTCCTGTTTCCCAGCTTTTTCATTTTCATTGTTATACCTTTCTTTTTTTCCCAATTGATAACATCTTTACATCATTCATTCCAAATGTAAATTCTGGCATAATTCCTTATATTAACCACGAAATCTTGTATAGCATTCTTGAAAACATTATCATTTGTTGCTTCCTAAATACAGTTTTTTATTGACAATACCTTTAACTGTTTCATGAAAAATTCTTCCATTGAAAATCAAGAACGATCTATCATCCAATAACTGCAATTATCTGGCATGATAATTAAATGGTATTCAAAAATTATTCTCATCTAACTTGCCTTTCAACTTATCAGCTTCATTGATTATCTGTTTAATCGTTAGATCATTTTCTTTACAAATCCATACATGTATCCACGTTTCAATTGTAACATTGCATCGACAACATTTACTACTTTCATAGAGTTCCAGATTTCTTTGATTTAACATTGTAAATTTCGGTAAAATTTCTAAATAATTTTTTAAAATATAGGCAGTAAGATTGTTATTCAAACTAGAAATATCATCCTGAAACTCTTCATAATAATATTAATCGACACTTTTCAGTCTATTTCAAACATCCATAATATTACTAACCCTATATGATCTACTAACGTTTAACACTAACCAATCAGCTTTATACTTTAACTGATTAATATTTTCATAAATTCTCTTGGACTTGATAGTTATATTTCTCCAAAATACTAAATATTCTCACGTATAGTCATTCTTAATATTGACTTTACTTTTATTATTATCGCTTTCATCTAAATGTGCTGTCTTGCATAGACCATCAGCCATATTATTTGAATGACTTTTAACTTTGAAAACATTAATATCTATACCATTATCTTTGATGAATCGTTCTAGTGTCTTCCATATTGCCCTGAAATTAATGTTCCAGATTCTACGTGTAGATCAAATAATTTAAATCATTATTGAATAAATGATCTCACTGATCAACAACTCCCTTGTTTATTATTGATAAAATCTATGTTTAACATACCATAATAAAGGACGGTCTGTTAAAATTTTGTGTTACTATAAAAATGTATTTTTTCATATTGTTGTTTACTAAATTGCTGGGTCATTTGGTGTAATAAATGATTTCCTTTTTCAAAAAAATCTCCTTTTATGGTAATTAATGACTGGCCATTTTTATATATAAAAAATTAAATAATATATATATATTATATATGTTTTCTATATTGATTTATATATTGATTTCTATATCTGTTTATATTCTGTTTTATAATCCGTTGTAAAATCTTATGTTTATAATCTGTTTTGCATTTCTTTTGTGAACAAAGGAACAAAGGTTGTTTATATACTGTACGTGTGAATTTTACTATTTGTTTAATTAATTTATGATTATTAATTAGTAATTGGTAATTAGTAAATATAAAATACAATAAAAACAATTAAACAATTATATTTTTTTATAATTATAATTAATAAATAAATAAATAAATTAATAATTAGTTAATTAGCCTGAAGAAAAGAATGCCAAAAATCTTGTGTAATATGTCTAATTTTAGTTGTGGTTATTTTCTTAATTAATTTGATGATCGTACTAACCATGAAATTCAAAATATGGTTAGTTTGAGGCCAAATATGGTTTAGACCTTTCCAAGATTTTTTATTCATATACTTAAGCTTGAAGCTTAAGCTTAAGTTTAAGCTTAAGTTCTAGCTTCAAGCTTCAAGCTTCAAGTATTGAATCCGCAGTCAGCTTCTTTATGGATGATGGGTTAATATATATGAAAAAAAAAGTGATGATAAAAAAAATCAATTTGATGAAAAAAAAAAAATGATCAACATAATATGTAATAAAATGATGATAGACATAAATAATCATTACGTAATTATTATGATAATGATAATTATATAATAATTGATAGCAAAGTAATAATTACCATTCACTTTCGTTTTTTATTACTAAAATAAAATATATATATATATATAATATTTTCTTAAAAAAAACAATAAATAATTAATAAGAATTTTTTTGTATGATAAATAATGATAAAATAATTATGTCAAAATATTTCCTTATAAAATTTATTTATTATAAAAAAAATAGTGATTTCATTTTTAATTAATAACGCTTATACAAATATCTTTTTTAATAAAAAATTTACCATAAATAAATTTTCATTTTTTTTTAATTATTAATTAAAAAATAATAATAAATACTATGCCAGCAAAGCTCACCTTTATCTGTGTAATTCACTCAGTTGTTGAACGTGATAGTAATAATTTTATTGTAAAAGAAGCTATTGTTGTTGTGAAAAAAGAAGATAACTGAATACAACAATGAACCTAAAAGTAATTACTTTTTTCCCAAAAAATCCTTCAGTTCCAAAATGGATTCCAGATTTTACGTCTGGTAATGTACTCAGATTTACGGGAAAATTTGCTCTTTGCAAAGAACCCCTTATGATGATGTTTTAGAGGTAATTCATAAACTTTCAAATTAAATTATTTAAATAAAAAATATATATTAGTACTATAAAAAATTTAGATCTTAAGTTATAAGAAACGAAAAATTTTCTCATATATTTAAGAATTTTTTTGTGTTATGTGATCAACATCAATTTCAACCATTTTGAAAACGGCAATAAATATGTTGTAATGCCGTAGTACACATAGTGAATTTATTTAATTGAGAGGCGCAGCATTATATTTGTAATTAGCGTATAAATTTTTAGTAGTTTAAAATTGTATATTAATTGGTCCACAATGAGGAATCAAGTTACAAATGCATCGTCCGTAAAACTAGAAGATTATTAAGTCAAGTGATTAAGAAAACAGGTGACTAATTTGTAGATCATTACGACAGAGAACTATGATTAGTACTTATAGTTATGAAGATCAAAAATGAAGGAAAATTTAAAATATCAAAAACATGAAAAATAGCAAGTACTAATATGTGCAGTTCATTTGAGCATAAAATAAGATGAAGTTGAAATTTTTAGGTTTGCAACAAAACATAGAGGGCGCAGGAGGTTTCTTTAAGAGAGTATATTTTAAATTAATATAAATAGGCAATAAATATTGATATTCTGAAAAGGATACAAGTTTGAAGATTCATTAAAACAAATATTTATTAAACATATAATATTGTTAAACCAAGCATATATTGTATTTATTTATATTATTAATAAAGTATTATTTTATTAAGTCCTAAGGTGGCAAACGTATTGTTAACAGGATTAGGTCTTACAACGTTAAAGATGATCTTTTAATAATAAAAAAAAATTATTGTTGAATCATAGAAATAATAATATAATATATATAAATTAAGATTTGATAATAAATGTAATTTCACTTTAACTCAATACAAAATTTACATAAAATAAACACAAAAGCACCATTCCACAAACAAAACTCCGCAACTATAAATAACACATTTATTGAAAATTTTTAATTAATTGAAGAGTGTGCCAACTTGATTCCTGATGCTTCCCTAGTTCACTTTAAAACATTTCGAAATTCGTAGGTTATATACCAACAATAAATAAATTGCTGCGGTTTGTAATTAATAAATGCCTTAGATCCCGGCATTACTGTATATGCTGTGAGCACCTAGTGAATTTATTAGTATAGTATTATAATTGTGTAATGTTACAAGTGTAACATTTGTAACGATTCTTGTGTTCACTTTTATTTTAATTGGGAACTAGAATCGAAATATTACTATAATAAGAAAAGGATTTGAAGATCGAAAATTGAAAATTTTGGAAAATTAATATTTACGAAAAGCGAAAAACAACATTTTTGAAAAGGATATTTTGTGAGGAAAAGTCAAAAAGTGGAAAAATCAAAATTGAAAAAGTTTAAAAATGAAAAAATTGAAATAATTTTATGAACTTTGAATATTTTAGTGAAAAATAATGATCGACAGAAATTATAAAAAGGAGAAAATTTGGACGTTAAGGGGTCTATTATTAGAATTTATTAGAAATTATGATTATTACTTTAGAAATTATCTTATTGGAATATTATTAAACTGAGCATTATTATATTAACTTCTTGTAATTTTATATTTATATTAAGACTGCGATGGCAACGTGATTTATCACGAGCGTAGATCTTACAATACCAATCACTAAAGACTATCCAAGTGACGGATGAACGGGATCGTAACACCGCTTCGAAGTGTAATGTTTGTTATATGACATCAAGAATACAAAATAGTCAACATTATGTCCATAGATTTTGAATCGGTATGACCAAAGGAAAGGGAACATAGTTAAGTGGTGAGTATCATTAATAGTTTTCCGGGTGGAAGCATGAGCTCTTCCACCTTTGTTCCGTCCCAAAATTTTTTGACATGAAAAATTTCAACTCCATTTTTACGATTCATAAACTATATATATTCCGTCGATTTCTATTTTACCAAAAATTATTAATATTTTAAGATTTTTCAAATTAAATACCTTTTTTTCAACAATAAAATTAATTTTTGTAAATTTTTCTGAATGCATCAATTACTTAATGCAAAAATTTCTCAAAAAATCTCTCACATCAGTTTCATAAACAAAAATCTATATCTAAAAATTCAAATGGATTTTATTAAAAAATTTCCATAGACTCTATAAAAAAATTTTCTCGTTAAAAAAAGATTTTTTAAAAAATGAATTTTATTAAATAAAAAGATTTTAGATGAATATTAAAAAATCTTATAAATCCTTTTAATTTGACTTACTGGAAAATTATACTGTATATTAAGTCTATTTATTACAAAATAGAATTTTTTTTTTTATTACTAAATTTATTGTAATAATTTAATTTAATAATAGAAATGAAAATAATACAACATAAAAAACCAAGTATAATTTTTGGAATATAATTTAATATATTTCGTATTTTTTTTTTTTTGTTATTTTATTTTTTGTAAATTTTTTTAAACTTCATCTATATAAAAAAATATGTCTGACGTTTAGACTTTAGAATAGTCTTCATATAAATAATTTGGATTGTATACATGAAAACCCATGACATACCTATTACACTAGATTTTTAAGTAAGATACTACAAAAAAATAGTCTATTGAATAATAATCATTGATTTTTGTTTATCAAATTATTTGAATTAAATTAATAAGAATAATTAAGTATGACAATCAAAT